CTTCCTCGCGCTAGGTCTCCCCCCGGTAGACCCCCTCCCCCCTCAGGGTCCTGCCCCCTTAGGTGTGTCCCAGGTAGACGCAGTCGAGCCGGTCGAGGTAGCTGTTGACTCTGGCGCTGCTAGGGGTGCTGAGCCTGCGCGTGACGGGTCTGCGGGTGATGAGCCTGAGCGTGCGGAGCCTGGGGGTGCTGGGTCTGGGGGTGCAGAGTCTGGGGTTGTTGAGCCTGGGTGTGCTGAGCCTGGGGTTGCTGAGTCTAGGGGTGCGGAGCCTGAGGGTGCTGAGCCTGCGCGTGTGGCGTCTGGAGGTGCTGAGCCTGGAGGTCCCTCGGATGCTTCATCCCGACGGGAGCCTCTCTCTCCACAGCAGGTGCGCGAGTGGTTTGCTCGGCACTGGAGCCGTGCTACTGGAGCTGGTGGTGCTACGGACGCTGGAGGTCCTGCTGCTGCTGGAGCTGCTAGGGGTTCTGGAGCCACTGGTCCCGGAGGTGCTCGTACTGGAGGTACTGGAGCTGCTGGGCCTGGTGGTACTGCTGGAGCTGGAGCTAGAGCTGCTGGAGGTGCTGGTGCAGGTGCTGATGGAGGTGCTGGAGCTGGCGCTACTGGGGCTGCTGGAGCTTCTGGTGGTCCTGCTGGAGCTGGAGCTGCTGGGGGTGCTGGAGCTGGAGGTGCTGCTGGAGCCGGTGCTCCTGTGGGTGCTGGAGTTGGCGCTTCTGGTGCTGCTGGAGGTGCTGTTGGAGCTGGAGGTGCTGCTGGAGTTGGAGCTGCCACGGGGGATGCTGGTGCTGTCCCTGCTGGTTCTGGAGGCGCTGCGCGGCCGCGGCCGTACTGCGTTCCGCTCATTCAGCAGGTTCTTGGTCTTCCGCCTTCTACTGGTCCTGCTCCTTAGAGTGTCCACCGCCTGTTGAGTCGCAGTCACAGTTGCAGCCCGCCTCCCCACTGCCTGCTCCCTCTCCTTACACTGGTCCGACCGGAGGTCTTGCTGAGCGTCGTGAGCCTGCGTCTCATCCTGCGTCGCCTGTTCGTGCTGCTAGCACTAGTCGTCGTGGTTCACGTCAGCGTCCTCCTCCTGTCCCTGGCACGCACCGGATGGCTCTGCGCCCTTCCACTGCTCCGCAGCGTGTCCCTCTGCCGTCTCCTCCTGCGTCCTCTCTTCCTGCCCTTTCTGACCCGGAGTTTGACTCCCTTCGTGCTGCTAGTCCTACTATCACGTGTCTCCTGGCCACAGTTGTCACTGACCCTTACTTTGAGTCCACTACTGCGTCTGCCTTAGTTGCTGAGCTTGTCGGCTTCGCTGCTCACTGTCGTCTAGACTACGCCGCGAGTCTTGTTGCTGAGTCTGAGTCTGTCTGTCCTCCGTCTGTCGGGGGTGAGTGTGCTCTTGGTACGGACGTCCTTGAGGAAAGGCAGGAGGACTTTGAGTGCTTTGTAGCCGCTGTACCTCATCTCGTGTCCATGCTGATTGCACCTGAGGGAGACCCGGATGCACTAGACATCCCGACCCCGCGCTCTTACGCAGAGGCGATAGAGGGTCCCTACTCCTCTCAGTGGCAGTCAGCCATGGACGCAAAGATGGCATCCTGGAAGTCCACAAGCACCTACGTCGACGAGGTTCCCCCTCCTGGGGCGAACATCGTCAGTGGCATGTGGATTTTCAGGGTGAAGCGGCCGCCGGGTTCTCCGCCTGCCTTCTAGGCGCGTTACGTTGCTCGAGGCTTCAGTCAGCGACAGGGAGTTGACTTCTTCCAGACCTTCTCCCCGACCCTGAAGATGACCACTCTTCGGGTTCTGCTGTACGTCGCTGCTCAGCGTGACTACGAGCTTCACTCTCTGGACTTCAGCACTGCTTTCCTACAGGGCAGCCTGCACGAGGAGATCTGGCTGCGCCGCCCACCTGGCTTCACTGGGTCGTTTCCTCTTGGTACCCAGTGGAGCCTCCGGCGGCCAGTCTACGATCTCCGCCAGGCGCCCCGTGAGTGGCACGACATTCTGAGGACTACGCTTGCGGCTCTTGGGTTTGCTCCTTCTACTGCTGACCCGTTGCTGTTTCTGCGCACCGACACTTCGCTGCCGCCGTTCTACATCCTCGTGTACGTACGACTTGGTCTTTGCCACTGCTGACACTGAGAGACTCGCCCACGTGAAGTCAGAGCTGCAGAAGAGACACACGTGCACAGACCTGGGTGAGCTGCGCAGCTATCTTGGCTTGCAGATCACCCGGGACAGAGCACGGCGCACCATTACCTTGACTCAGTCACACATGGTGCAGCAGGTCCTTCAGCGCTTTGACTTTACGTACTCCTCGCCTTAGGCCACTCCTCTGTCTACTCGCCACTCACTCTCAGCTCTGCCTTCGGATGAGTCCGTAGAGCCGAGTGGCTCGTACCCAGAGCTTGTTGGCTGCCTCATGTACCTGATGACCTGCACTCGACCTGACCTTGCATACCCTCTTAGCATCTTGGCGCGTTATGTTGCTCCTGGGAGACACCGACCAGAGCACATGGCTGCAGCGAAGAGGGTGTTGTGCTACCTGTGCAGTACGTCGAGCATGGGGCTCGTGCTTGGAGGACGGGCTCGAGTTGTCCTCACTGGTCACGCAGACGCTTCTTGGGTTGACGACTTGGCTACGCAGCGGTCGTCACAGGGTTACACCTTCAGCCTTGGTTCCGGCTCTGTCTCGTGGCGGTCTACCCGCTCGTCCTCTGTTCTCAGCTCGAGTTGTGAGGCTGAGATCTACGATGGGGCCATGGCTGCACAGGAGTTACGCTGGCTCACCTACCTGCTGACCGACTTGGGAGAGGCGCCTCGTTCTCCTCCATTTCTGTACGTCGACAACAAGGCCATGCTGGCCTTGTGTCAGGAGCACAGACTGGAGCACAGAACGAAGCACATTGCTCTGCGCTACTTCCTTGCTCGAGAGTTGCAGCAGCGTGGTCAGCTTCGTCTTGCTTACGTGGCCTCTCGGGCCAACACTGCTGATATCTTCACCAAGGCACTTCAGCCTTGTGATCATCAGCGTTTCTGTACTATGCTAGGTCTTGTGCCTACCGGGCCTCACTTGCTTACCTCTTGACTTTGCTTGTATTGTGATCTATATATACATGCTCTTGCATGCTTACCTTTGCTTGGTTGTGATTACTGTGTTGCTTGTTCACTTTGATTTATAATCCTGCATGTGAACTGGCCTTGTGGCCTTTGAACTTGTGCTCGGAATGTGTGGTGATGTTGTGATCCACCCTGAGCTTACTTTGCTTTGCTTGACTGGTCTTGTGACCCCTTGTTCTCCCCCACTTTGCCTATGGGGGTGTGTCAAACATACATGATATAGCCTGTGTAGGCTGTTGTGGGGTAACCAATAGGGGGTACAGCTTTTCTAGAATTTCATACTTGTACCCTTCTCATTCCTAGTCAATCCATTCCTCGTTCTTATTCTCACACCAACATGGTCGGGTTGGAGCTGCCTGACCAGACCCGGCCGATTGGGTCGACAAGGTGGACCCGACCCGACCCAATCAAATTGCGATGAGTTACTGCTAGCTAAATTTTTAATCTTCCAAAAAGCCTGTTTCGTAGTCGCGTAAGGGCGTGTAAAATCCCTGTGCAATTGCGAAATTGGGGTTTGGCCAAATTTTCGTCGACCATGTGGTCGACACTTTTTTCGCGTAGGTCGACATAGTGGCCGAAATCGAGTCGTCCAAATTTCAGCCACAGATTTGCGGATTTTACAACTTTGGTGGCCGATTTGCAGACCAGTTCGGAAAAGTTGTAAAATTTGGAGTTACTACAGTAGTTGGGTGGTGCGACGGGGTCGCTTATTTGACGGCGATATTTCTCATTTGACGTTATCACAATTGTCGCTCATTCTAATCGTGCGACGTCGCAGTCGATCGTCGCACACAGTGTCGACTACCTGGCCGTTCTGGAGTTGACTCGACGTCGTTTTCGTGTCGTTATTTTTTGCACAATTTGCGGCTGTCGTCACTTTATTGACGAATGTCGCTGACTGGTTACCTTCGCAGAAACTCCCGACGGATTGTGGCCGAATTTTTGGAGTTCCCGCCCTAAGAATTACAGATCCAGTTGTGCAAGGTAACTGAGAAGCAATAGCCTCAGGGAGTTGCTGAAACTCGCCACAATTCGCATAGCCTTCAGGAAAAGTGGATAGGTTCGCTGAGGGCGTGTCAACATTTTCATGAATTCTTTGCTTCTTCGAGCCACGATGGTCGGATTGGGTCGGGTCGTCCGTGTCAACATTTTCGTGAATTCTTTGCTTCTTCGAGCCACGATGGTCGGATTGGGTCGGGTCGACCTTGGTCTACCCGACCCAACCCGACCTAGTTTGGTCGCAACACGTCGTTAGCTCGTTCCGTCGAATTCTATCGGAATCAAATATGACTGACATCAGGTTCGTGGACACAGGCGCACTGGTAATTTGCGATTGCAACAAGATTGCGGAGCAGATAAAATTCTAGAGTTATCTACCAGCTCGACGCTCGCACTAACCGCTCCGGGCCGCCACTGCCTGCCGCCTCCACGCGGCGGCATGATGTAACAATCGCAAACGGGCCGGTCGCTCCACCGAGCAAACTGTGAGGCCTTATCGCCAGTTGAACCCCCCGTGAGCCTTTGCAGGTTTACGGCACGCACCGTGTCCGCCGCGTGCTGGCACAAAGCGAGCCCCAGCGCGGCGCTGGTGCGAACCTGAAAGAGATGAGAGACGGAGGAGCGAGGGCAGGAGGCATGAGCTCCTCGGTAAATGGGCAGGTTTCAGGTATTTCCTTGTTCACGCGTGTAATACATACCTCCACGGCCATCATCATCATCAGCGCCCTTTGTGGCTGCCGTGTTTATCCCCGCAGGAGTCTTGCAGGATGTTGGAGTCGCATGTGCTGCTGCTGAGCAGCCTGGCGTGCCTCGCGGCAGTGTGGGGAGCAGGGGCAGTGCGACTGCACGCAAGAGATGGTACACCGTGTACCTCACCGACCTTGCCTTTGGGGAGATCGATGCTGCTCAGAGCTGCAGAGTGTGCCACAGTGGTCCCTGGTAGCACGTGCAGCTCCCAGCACACCCACCTGCCCCTCCAGCACTCCCACGACCTTGCCTCGGCCTCGGCGCCTTGCCATTCTTCCGCCTGCTGCGTCTCATCTGTGCCTCGCCCCCTCGTCGCCTCATCCCATCCGCGCCTCACTCCGTCCATGCCTCACCCCTTCCGTGCCCCACCCCATCTTTGGTCCTCCCAGCCACGAGTCTGTCATTGCTGGCCAGCGAGTGGAACGAGTTCAACGGCAGCGACACGTGGGGATGGCGCCATGCGGACTGCATGGCCATGGAGAATCCGCTGCGACCATGATGGGTACATTGTTTCCATGTGAGTGCACTCCCATCTCAGGCTGTCCCTGTGCTGCTGCTCCTGTCCCTGTGGAATCACCCCTGGCCGAAGCGATCACATGAGCTTGTGGCAGGGCAGGGCAGCTTATAACGCACCTTCGGTTGACACTTGATGCACATCTCATCTCATTCCAGAGCGCAAGTAGCATGCAGGACAGGACAGCTCCACCACACTCATGCCTTCTCCCATCTCGAAGATAATCCACTCGATTGAGTCTCTGCTTCCTCCACCCAACCTCACCTGATTCACAGAATGCTTCGGCTGAAGATCTTTGGAGCCCCGATACCCAACATGATCAGTCAATTCGAGAGCCTTGAAGCCCTGTGAGCTGCTGGCCCTCATTGCATCCAGCACTTGTGCTACCACTTGGCACAATGTCTTGTACCTTGCCCGCAGGTGAGTGAGTAACTGGGTGATGCAATGCAACTGAGTGATGCAGGTCTTCTGGGTACATGCTGACTGAGCCTTTAGTAACAAATACGACCATTTTTCTATGAATATCTTGTGGGTACTGTCTAGACTTGTAGCAGCTCCTCATTGAATGCAATTTAGAATCAGATACTTGCAAATACAAACCCGAATATCTGTGCCACGTAAGGATGAGCGAAACCCGAACACGAACGTGTTTGGGCCGCAAGTGTGTCAGAGACTTCTTTGTCTCCCTCCCCCCCTCCCTCCCCACTGTCACTCCCCCCTTCTTCGTTTTCTCCTGCCTCGTCTCTAAGAGTGCTGAACTATTGCGAAGTCACAGGCAGCATTCCGGATGCCCTCTTTAGCCTGCAGCAATTGAAAGCGCTGTAAGCATCCATCTTGTTGTTCGTAACATCATTCCCTTCCCACCATCACTTACTTACCGGTGCTCGTATGTGCCCACTCCATACACTTCCATTCCATGTCTGTTTCTGGAATCAGCAAGCCCACAGGAACCTCCTTACATTAGGAATTTGGATGTTTATAGCTCATTTTCACACTGCACCCAATGCTTTCATTATCTTATCTTCCCACTTCTGTGTTGCTTGTGCACTGCTCGTCTCCACCCCTCGCTGCATTCACCTAGTGATCTTTCGGGCAATTCAATCACGGGGACGCTGCCAGGTGGCTTCAGCCGCATGACCAACTTAGTATACCTGTGCGTGTAGCCATTCTTGCAACCTCCACTACACTTCCATTCAGCCCCCCTTCCCATGCCTACAAAACGCATGTGTACGTGTGGTTCCATCATTACAAGCTGAAATGTGTTTTGAGACGTCTCAAAACACACTTGCATTCAGGCTCCTCCCATGCCTACAAAGCGCACGTGCACGTGTAGTTTAATCAATACAAGTTGAAATGTCTTCATGTTGTGTGCACAGCATGTGTTCATAACTGAAACATGCAACGTCCTGTTTATCACGTCACGGTTTGCTTGTTACTCTTCCTCTTCTTCCCACGCGATGACAGAGACCTTACTGGCAACCTGCTATCCGGGCCCATCACCCCGCTGTCCAACTTACTGCAACTCAAAGCAATGTCAGCCCCATGCTCTTGTCTCTGCTTTAGTGATAAGGCTCTTTTTAAGTTTAAAAGAGCAGGGAGGGAGGATGTAGACAGGCAAGGGAAGGCGATATTACTTGTCCCGCTATTGACACCAAGTTGGAGACTCGGCGTAAGTTGCACAACAGCTAAAAGTAGGTTGGAGGTGGCTACGTCACTGTCTCTTTGTTTCTGTTAGATTCCCTTTTGCTTTCATTTCACTGTACCATAAGTTGAGCCGAGTTGTTGAGGCAAGATCGAAGGGGTGGGTGGGTGAGAGCCAAGCTGCACACTGAATTCGATTCTGTGCGGCCAGGCTGGAAGACGGTGCATGGCGAGTGATCATTGGGAAATCCAGCTAGCGCCTAGGAACTAGAACGAGCAGCTTGGCTGACTCGTCACTGGGCACTAGGTTACCAGGAGGTCAGGAGTGGGCTGGGAGGAGGATGTACACGGGTAGGGGACTCGGCCTCACTGCTTTTAGCCTGTAGGATTCTACTACTGCTGCAATTCGTTTCCCTACAGCATGGAGACACGCAGTGAGTAGATGCACTGAAGCAAATCGACTGAGCCCTTGCGAGGGAGAGTGCGGCTTGTTTCAGGGAAGCCTGAGAAGTGAAGGTAAGAAGGTGGAAAGATGATCACGTACGTGAGGAGAAAGAAAGGAGTTGATTGCCAAAGCAACAGAAAGGATGAACAAGTAACGGAGAAGAGGAGTTTAGGAAGGAGGGGGATGAGAACGGCAAGAAGAAGAGGAGGAATTCACAAGACGACAGTGAAAAATGACCTCCCCTTTTTCCACCCTCTCCAACCTCCCCCCCTCCTCCCCCCCCCTTCCCCCCCCCCCCCCCCCCCCCCACCCTCCCCCCCCCCCCCCCCCCCCTTCCCCCCCCCCCCCCCACGATTTAAAATGTATAGAACTATTAGGGTGGGATAGCTTGCTCTTTTTTTTTTTTTTTTTAAGGTGTTCTTCTGTGGCATGTGAACGTTATTGTGGGAGCTCATGCGGTGTATTGAGTGGTAGGGGGCTGAGCTTCTTGAGTTGTAGCCGTTCGTTTTAAACCAGGATGCGAGGGCAGACAAGCTCAGGTGGGAGTGGGTTGAAAGAAGCCACACCCCTGGCACAGCAGTGCGCGGAAGCTGATGGGCGAACAAGCGCCTCTCTACCAGAAATGGCGTCACGGGTGCCTCATTCTATCTTGCTACTCCCACGCTCTCCTCTGCCCTTTATATCCCCCAGGTTTATCTCTGACAATTCCTTCAGCAGTTCGCTACCCAACGAGCTCGGAACTCTCACCAGCCTCGAAATTCTGTGAGAACTAAAGGAGCGGAACAAGGTCCTCGCAGCCCTTTATACAGCCATAGCAGAGAGCAGAGGACAGGGGCCTCAATGGTCTTGGTGCAGAGTGCATTGGCGTGGCCCTGCAGGAGGGTAATTCTCTAGAGCTGGCAGTACGCATGGAGCACTTTGGCTGCTTCTGCCCAAGTCGGTGCTGCCTTGAAGTGGCACTTTGCCGCGAGGTTGGCACAACAGCAGCGCAGGTAAGCGAGCAGCCCTGTTGAGGTGTAGCCGTAGTAGGTCTCCACCGCCGTCGCGTGGAACTAGCCCAAGCAAGCACTGCGGATGGCGTATTTCTCCTCCTTGCATGTTGTTGCCACTCATGCCGCCAACCCGGAGCTTTTCATGCGAGGGGTCCTGGTAGGAGAAGGGGTCGGTACAGTAACAGTGATGTCACGCTTCCATATTTCCCCGGTATTGGAACTGCGGATGGCAACATCCGCGACAATTGCTTGTTCTTTTATAAACATGCTTGTTCTTTTATCCGCAACTTTTGCTTGTTCTTTTATCCGCAACTTTTGCTTGTTCTTTTATCCGCAAATTTTGCTTGTTCTTTTCAACCGAGGAGAACATGCTTGTTCTTTTATGGACCATGAATCATGCCTCTGCTTTTTTCTGAGCACACTAATCTCGGCGTGCATGGCGAGTGGAGGTCCTTCCCTTGCTTTTTTCACAACGCATGAGGTTAATTGAGAATGTGGCGGCATACCACATGCGTCGCAGCGGCGTGGTACTGGCAAGGGGATGCCTCGATGGAAAGCAGCCGCTGTGGAAAAGTGAGCGGGGCCGAGGCGAACGGCCGGTGAAAGGGGCAGGGCCAGTAGCCAGTCTCCGGCAGGGCAAATCAGAGATTAGAGGTGTTGGGTGCGGATGTCTCTCTGGATCTGCTGCTCCTGATGCAGCACACAGCCCCCCTATCGCTCAGCACCGCCACGTTACCGTTGAAACGTTCCACACCACTCATCCACTGCATGAGCTTGCAGGTAACGTAGTAAGCAAGGTACATGCATGAGCATGATGCTCTGTCCTTGCTTATTCTGCCCACTGCACATGCAGGTACTTTCCCTACAACCTCTTCTCTGGAAGCCTCCCTTGTTCACTGGGCAACCTGACCTTGCTACATGATCTGTATGCTAGCATGTCACGTCTGTGCCTGGTTCCTGAGCTTGTGTGAGATGTGATGTGGGTTTAATCAAAAGCAACCGGTCGTTTTGAATGGTGCAAGCTCCCATGCAGCTTCTTATCCTACCACCTTGCGAGTCAATAACTCAAGTGCATCAGAACGCGTGTGACTCTTTCTCTCTTATTACTGTCCCACTGATCTCAGTAGCGTGCACCACAATCAACTCACTGGTACCATACCCGACTCTTTCAGTGGCCTTCACAACCTCCGTATTCTGTGAGAGCCTTAAGGCAAACTTAAATTGGTCAACTGAAAACATTCCTACTTTTACTACACAATTGTCATATGTTTTCATTCTTTTTTTGCAAACATTTCTTACTCGCAAGTAAAAGTACTACTCAGCTCAGTTTTAACTAACTGCACCTGCTGTCTATTGATGCTTACTGTAGGTTGAGCTGCTGTTTCAAGCACTCCTGATGTACATGGCATGAGGGAAGCACTAGTGGAAAGGGTGTGGGGAAGGATCAGGGTAGCACAAATTGGGTAGCTTGATTGGGGTCATAAAAAAGAAAGAATCGTCTGGGCAAATTATGATTCGGGGTCAAGCAAAAATGCTCAACCCGAGCATTGCTCGTCTTGATTCGATTCTCGTTCGAGGCAAGCCAAATGTAGTCGATTTGTACTTGATCCGTCAAGTTCTCATGTCCGGGCTGATGTGTGTGTGTCTACATCATTTCTGACCTTTTGCTTTCCCGTGGAGTATGATCTCTTTGACATGCAAGTGCCAACGTGGGTAAACCATCTTCAAGACAGCATAACTGGCAGTGGGTGTGCAGCATCATGCCTTCATCTGCTACTCGCTCTTCATCCCCATCGCCTTGCCCACCATGCTCCTCTCCTCCTTCCATCTCTTGCCTGGCTCTTCTGCTGGCTCTCTGCACAGCCGTTTGGGAAGCAATCAGCTGACAGGGTCCATTCCTGAGTCACTTGCGTTCCTCTCTGCCCTCATCTTCCTGTGGGTCACGCCACTTGATGCCAACCTTCCATTTTGGGGGTGCCTGCTTGGATCGTGCTGCTGTGTTTACACATGCATTCAGTAGTAGCAATTGTTGTTCATTTTGTGACCGATCTACGCGATATTGGAACGATAGAGATTGAACTTACTGTCACACTTTGCGTCGCTGTATGTGACTATGTGTGATACTTATGCCATGCTTTTGGTTGATGGTCCACCAAGACTCTTGCAGGTGCAACGCAAGTTGTTAAGTTACTGGCGCAGCATGCTATTGCGTGCTTCATAGGCATGGCTTGGCTTCTTCTCCAAAAGCTTTCACCTGCCACTATTGCATTCAAAAGCAATGACTGGTGGTTGATTCTGTTTCTTTATAATTTGAAGTGGTTACTTATCGCGTGAAAACTCAATAGCGCCTGATTTGTTTGCTGCACTGCACTCCCCCAGCGGCCTCGAGTACAACCATTTGGACGGCTCAATTCCCAATTCACTCTCGTCCCTGCAGCAGCTGTTGCGCCTGTAAAGTGCAACCCTGTAGTCTTACAATCACTCAACTAAGCAGGATAAACCGCAGTCCTATCGAATCTAAACTTCATATTCCTGTCTTCGTCTTGTGGGCCCCATCCAGTTTTCATTCCTCCCAGTTGCTTTACATCTCCCTTTATATCCAAATCTGCTTAACATGGCGTCAGTCTTCCAGCCTTGCTTTTGGCTGTCCACACAATGCATCGTTCAGATCGCTCTCAATGAACCGGCTGTCGGGAGGGATACCTGTTGTGCTGGGGGATATGACTTGTCTGCAGTACCTGTGAGGCGTCTGCCCTGCCTTTACCTTCCTCTCTTCTCTTGTACTACCTTTGTCCCTTAACATTGGTTCCTTAAAACCACTCGGTTGTCGCTGCTATGGCAGCTCTGCACCAAGCCTGTTTTGCTTTCGTCAGTTCTAATGCGTTCAGAGTGCATGCCTGTTGTCTTTCTGCCATCCATTCCATTCTGCTTAAAGCCCTCTCTCTGTATTACTGTGCCACCAGGGTCCTAACAGGCAACCCATTGAACGGAACAATCCCTACTTCCATTGGGAAACTCACCAACCTGATCAGCTTGTAATAGTCACACAATTGGCATGCCTCTTTGCTAGGGAACCACACATTAAAGACCTGGTTCAAGCATGAACGAACTCTTTTCATCGCTGTGTACGATCTTTGACAGCATGCATTCTTTGTTGCGCTCACTGGTCTACATGCCATGAATTATGTGTGTGTGCTGCATGCCACGTGAGCAGGATCCTCACAGGCAATCAGCTGTCTGGAACCATCCCCAGCACCTTCACCAGTCTCTCCAAGCTTCAGGATTTGTATGGATTTTGTTAATCGCATAGTAGCCGCAGGCGCATTGGGCTGTTTGCACGCTTGATTTTATTGTTTGCCAAGGCACCTACCAAGCACTTATTGTCTAAACATATGCGTTCTGATGATAACTGCTTGGCAAATGCTAGGTAAGTGCCTGTCCGGGCAGACCTTAAAATCGTTCAGGCAAGGCCAAGAAAGGGTGTCTGGGGGGAGGAGGTGAGAGCCTGGGGGCGAATGTGGCAGGAATGAGCTGCTGAGGTTAGGGCTGTGGCAGAATTCTCCTCACATTGACAGGATTGAGAGATCCTTGTTGGGTTTTCTGAATGTGCAATTGAGTGATTCTTTAACCCTAAACTCTCGGCTTGTGATGTGCTTATGATCACTTAGCAGCAGTTACTCTGCCATTCGTCATCATACCACCTTCTTCCCTGCCTGTACTGTACTTTGCTTTGCTATGCTCCTCGTGTCCTCCAAAACCTGTTTCCCTCCTCACCGTCCTTTTATTTGTTGCCTCTTCCCACTCTTGCCTTCCCATTCTGAAGCCGACGCGACGAGTCAATACCATTTGGGCTGGGCAACTTCCTTCGATGCTGCCACCTCCTGGCGGCACCTGTCACCCACTGTCCTTGCTTTACATGGTGCCTCCGGTGCACTCATGTCTTCTGAGTTCCTCCTCCCTCCCCTGCATGTGCGCGCATGTGTGTGCCACTCAGCTTAGTGGCATTCAACGATCTTGATGGCCCCATTGACCACATCGTACGACCCATGACGGACCTCAGTTACCTGTGTGTATTACCTCGTGTCTTCACTTGAGCACCCTTACATTCTCTCTCGTCTCCCCAAGCCTACCCACGTACATCCTCATGTGTGTTTTGCTCCTGCCAATCTTAGATCTATCTCTTTCTCTATCTCTATCTCTTTCTCTCCATCCTTTTCTCCTCCTTCACACCTTCCCTTGCGCCCTTCCACCTTCCTTCCTCTATCCCTTGCAGTTTCCTCACAGGCAATCGGTTCTCTGGTCGTATTCCCAGCATCTCCAGTCGAAGCTTGGAGATTTACCGCGTGGGGCACAACTTCTTCACACACGGCCACCTCAAGCTGAGCAACTGCTCTGCAGTCCAGTGGGACGTGTCTGAAAACTGCCTTGCTGTTTCGCCAAGCGTCTGCGGCCCTGCTTCCACCCAACGGCCTGCTTCTGCATGTGCTGCATTTTGTGGGCTGGAGGCTGGTTCCACTGGTCCTGTGTGTGGGGGCCATGGCTACTGCTCTCTGAATCATTTTACTGGAGAAGGGGAGTGTGTGTGTGACCCCAACTACATGCTCAACAGCAGCAACACCAACGCCTGTCTGCCTGGAGGCGAGTTTCTATTGAACACCCAGTGCAGCTCATTTTATCTCTATCTGCTGGTCAGCGTAGATTTCTCCTCTACTTGTCCTTCTCATGAGAACCTTGGTATTGGCACCTCTTCCAAAGTACCAGCACGTGTAAGCCCTGAAACCAGTTCATTCCCCACACCTTTTCCCTGCTGCCTTTCTTCCTTGCACCTCCAGCTGCTGGTGCTTCTCTGGCATCAAGCTCAGCCTATGTGTCTCTCCGGGGCTCTGCAGCTGTGCTCTCCAACGGCTCCATTCTGCTCACCAGCGGCGCGGCCAGCCAGCAAGGCTCTGCCTTTGCCTCGCCCGCGCTGCGCCTCTTCTACATTCCTGACAAGCGCTCTCCCTGCGGAACTGAGCTGGGCTTCCGAGTTGCCTTCAGCTTCGCAATGATCCCCGGGGATCAGGGGGCGGGTGGGGAAGGGCTTGCGTTTGTGGTGACAGCAGCTGCTGCTGGCAAGGGGGCGAGTGTGGGGCTGGGAGGGGTGGGGAAGCGGAGTGTGGCGGTGGAGTTTGACTCGGTGCTGAGTGTGAAGCACAGCGACCCCAACGACAACCACGTGGGCGTCAATGTGGGCGGCTCACCTGTGTCCCTCACCTCTGCCACGGCCCCTCTCATCCTCAACGACGCCCACACCAAGCACGCCTGGATCCACTACGACCCCACCAGCGGCGGCACCCTCCGAGTCTTCCTCTCCTCCGACCCCCAGCAGCCCCTCACCCCCACCCTCACAGCAAGCGTGTCTCTCTGCTCCGTGCTCAAGCCCACTGCATCCGACTCTCTCTTCCTCTTCGGCTTCGTCGCCCTCTCAACCAGCCAGCCCCAAAGACATGCCATATTGTCCTGGAGCTTCGTCACAGGTATGCTGCCTTGCACCGTACCCTTCTCCAGCTGTTCCTGGCTGTATAATTCATCTGTCTGCTACCTTTTTTACTTTCCAATCTTTATTTGTTTGCCTGGAATTTCGCTTGCATTCATGAGCAGATATTCCCTCTTCTCTGTAAGACAGTGGGTACACCAGCATCGCACCATCGCTCCTGGGGACTGTGAATCTGGGGGATCTAAAACCCTGGTAAAAACGGTGCTTGAGGGGCTGCTGCCCAAGATTGCCGTAATAACATTATGTACATTGGGAGAAAAGATGTATTCGGGTCAGATGCTGCAACTCCCAATTCGGGCCTTTTTTGCACTTGGCGTGCAAATCGTCACCCCGGGTCTTAACTTATCCACACATTCATACCCATTCATTCGCCTGTAGCAGCCCTTGATGCTGTAGAAGTACCTGACGTTGATGTACTTGCAGTCATCCCCTGGTGAGATGGTGTAGGTGCTGGTCCTGGAACAGATGCCCGCTGTGAAGTTGGTCACGCTGCCAATGCACACCTGCAGGCATGGGAAGAGAGAAAAATGGGTGATGGCAACAATCAGACGTGATATGGCGCAACATGTCACTGTGAAGTTGGTCACGCTGCCAATACACACCTGCAGGCACAGTGGTAAGTGGTGTGTGGGGCGGAGAAGACAATGCAGGGAAGAGGGCCAGCAGGGAGCAAGGGGCACTTGCGGCAAAAAAGGTGTGATGCATTGAATGCATGAAGAACACACCTTGCAAAATTACTAACACAGGCCTGAACGCAGCTCAGCATCACACTGCATGCACCACAATGACTGACCTCAGCACCAAAGGTGGTGGCGGAGCGGGAGAAGTTTTTGAGGGGGATGAGCTGGTTGCAGTTGAGGCCGGGGTTGAGGCGGTAGAAGGCCACGGGGCTGAGAGGAGGCTCCGCCAGCTGCCTGATGCTGTCGCACGTGTCGTTGAGGCGCGCCCGATAGTACTGGTCGCACACCACTGTCACATTCGCCACCCCGGGGTCCCTCTCCAGGCACACGGCCTGGGAGGGCTTCAGGGAGGAGCAGTTGACAGCGGGGTTGAGCGCCTGAAATGCCGCCTCACACTCCGCATCCGACGCCGCCGCCCCACACAGCTCCACCTGCCGCGCTACCCCCGTGCACGTGTCGCCCTGGGGGATACGGCGAGGGAGGGGGAGGAGGGGGAATTGGCGGAGGTGGGAGTGGTGTTGTTTGGGTTATGGAAGGACTATAGGAAGACCCTTGAACATAGTCGTGCACTGAGACACTGAAACGACGAGAGATTATGGACTCACCAGCACAGTGGTATAGAAGACAGAGCATGCATCGACTGTGGAGTTGACGAGCAGACTTGCGTTGATGCGCAGAGGAGCCGAGCATGAGATGCCCTGTGGGGCATGCAGGGATGATGGCACATGCAGGGGATGATGGCACATGCAGGGATGATGGCACATGCGGGGGATGATGTCTCACGATGAACCAGTTGCATTAGATTGGAGGTCCTGACATAGTATACTCATACCCAAGCATGCATTTACAGCAGGCAGGTGGTGGGCACCTTGTGCTGCATGAAACCAATGGGTGCAGCACTCAGGTACCTTGTTTTGGTGCAGGAACTGGTCCAGTGTGAGGGCGAATACAGGATGCACATGGGAGCACCACACGTTGCTCTGCTGCACCGTGTACACCCCCCCTGCATCCCCTGCACCACCATGCCACTCCCGTGAAACAACAAATTAAAATAATGGTATAGCAATGGAGAAACTCGTCTGTCTTCATTGGTGGAGTGGAGAGCACAAATTGATGAGCTTTATACATGAGGCTGCACAGGGTGGGTGTTGTTAGCACGTGCCACTCCATTCAGCAAATACGGAACTTCTTGGGTAGAATTACAGGAAACGAATTCAAGAAGTGCAAGGAGAATTTAAGAAGTTGAAAGAAAACCACACAAACTGATTGTATCCGAGGTACGAAGTGCATGAGCATCCATGATTTTAAACACCTGTATGCTCATCCGCCATCCCATAAATGGGAACAAATGGAAATTGTTACGAGCTTCGTTATATTGAAAGGCAGTTGTTACGTGAAGAAGAAGAAAAAAAACAACTGCAGCAGACGAGAGTAGGTAGCAGCAGGAGGCTGTTACCCGGAGCACAGGAGGCGGTGTTGGCGAGGGTGGTGCCCTGGATGAACCCCGGCGGACACACACAGGAGTAGCTGCCCTTGCCATCGTTCACACACGTGCCCACCACACACGGGTTGCGAGTGCTGGACCCACACACGTCCACTGGGGGGGAGGGCAGAAGGAAGAGTGGGGGCATGGGAGCATGCATGAACATGGGCAGACGGCATCAGGACGCGTGATGGAAATTTAGACCACCAGGATTTATTAATTTACAAATTCTTCCTCAATTAGTGAAAGGAATGAAACTGGCGGACATGGAAAGGCATGCTGTGGTGTGGGTGTGGGAGGAGGTGCGTGATCAAGCATCAAAGAATGAAAATGAGGATGGGTATGGAAACACGCACAGTTACAGGACATAGGCCAAGTGGAGGTTGAAGGTTAGCAAACAGAATGTGCTGAAACCAACCCAACCAACAGGATGAAGTGAACGCCCTCCCAAGAGAATCGTCTCTCGAGAATTAGTCTGTAAATCACAGAACCATGTAGTGCACATGTACACATCACTGGTGACCCTCCCCTGGTGCGTGTTACCATAGGCACAGGTGTACGACCCATCGGCGTTCTTGACTTGAGCAAAGCGGGCGTCAGTGCACTTGCAGCGATTGCTGGTGCCCTTCTTGCTGCAGTTATACCGCCCGCACGGGTTGAAGACACCGGAGTGTTGGTTGCTGTACTGGAAGGAGCGTGACCCACACGGATCAGCACTGCCTGCTCGACACATCAGGTGGTAATGGGTTGTGGGCACAAAACATGGCTGTCAGGATGAATTCACCAGCTGTCATCACAGGGATGCAAAGAAAAACAGGAAAAAAACTATCACCCTCACTTCTGACAACAGGGAAGAGGCCCGGGAGAGTGTTGATGCCGCAGATGCCGTCGCCACTGCGAATGTCCATGCGCATGTGGCCCTGGTCGCCCCAGGCTGTGCCCCATGAGTTGCGGATGATCCAGAAGGGCGGCAGCACGGCGGAGTTGGAGGGGTCGGAGCCCGCAGAGAGGTAGCCCACCACCAGCACCACGTGGTTCAGGTGGTTGCTGAAACACTCCTCGTCCGCGTACTTGCCTCTCTGCCAGCACACACACACGGCCAGAGGATGCCCGTACAGATGGAGCAAGGATGCACAAGAATGAGCAACATGAAAAAAAACATGTCAACATTGAAGTCAAACTGAGAGGAACTGGTCACCAGTCGAACCGAAACAGTTCGTTCTGTTTTGAACCGAAACTGGGGAAGCAGGGGTTCAATATTTCCCTCGCCATGTGTGGTTAAGCTTCTCTCGGATCGAATCGAACTGTAACCGGTTCGGTTCGTTTCACCAGCAGCTTTCGCTGAGGTCCCATTATTCAGCGATGCTTTCCATTTCGAGACTGATTTCATTTTAAGTGACTGCTAGCGCGGCAGTGGGGGGTCGATGGGGGGTGGAGTGAGGGGGGGAAACCGGACGGGGTAGGGAGAGGCTGCTCAAGGTAAATAGGTACTTGGGTGAGCGCGCAGTCAAGACAACCTCACCTCTTGATCACTAGTGCATGGCAACGAACATAGACACGCACGAAGGAGGTGAAAAAGAATTGACTCGCTATTTCTGACACCTCATCACATTGTATGGCAATGACACATGGCAGCCACACAGACTGATCTACACATTCATAACTCCCACATATGAATGAGCAAATGGCCCGACCCAGGTCGACCCGATTTGGCTGGGTCAGGCGGGTCCTGGGTCGGGCTGGGTCAGGACCCTGCGGGTCCAATATTTCAAGATGCCGACCCGACCGAACAGAGGCGCGTCAAATAGGACCGGGCTCCAGGTCGGGTCGACCCCAAAGCGGGTCGAATATCTGAACCTGCTTTCGCCCTCGCTCTGCGCAGGTCGGCGGTTTTGCCCGCTAGTCTGATTTCGGGATGAACTGAGTCAGCAAAGTCAGGCACCCCCTCTTCCCAGTCAAGATTGTTGGAACGAAAAATCCCAACCGATGAGCCATCGCTTACAATTTGTCACCACACTGAATCTATCTACAATACCCAATCCCCCCCATACCCTTTACAGATCTTGACATTGAGCTCATGCCAACCCTAGCGCCATCCTTCAGCCCATAGCTGATAGCTTCCACCCAAATGCCGAGTTTGGCAACTATTTTAGCTCCTAACAGTAATAAACAGTCCCACCCACCACGTACCTGACCCGATTTCGGTTCGACCCGCCCGGGTTGCTGGGTCGACTCGACCTGGAAATAGCTAAAACTAGGTCACAGTTCAACCCGACCCGGCCAGGTATACCTGGCCCGACATGGCCGGGTCGGTGATTGGGAAATAGGCTTCAACATGAAGCTCGGCGGGCCGGTGATTGAGAAATAGGCTTGAACATGAAGTTCGGTGGGTCGGGTTTTGCCCAGGTCGGGCCAGGGTTCCAAACGCCAACCCGGCCGGGGGTCGGGTCAACCCGATTCTCAAGATCGGGTCGAGTCGGGGTTTGACCCGATAATGACCCAGCCTGGAAACGGCTCATTTATCTAGGTATCGGATCGGATCTATGAGTAGCGCGACGGTTGGGCTGAACGAAAGCGCTAGGGTTGGGCTGCGCTGAATGTCTAGAACTGTGAAAGTGTACGGCGGGGGGGGAAGGAGGGTTGGGTATTGTAGATCCAGTGCGGTGACGAGTGGTAAGTGGTGGCAAATTGGTTGGGAATATTTTTTTAAACAACAATTTGACGGTGAGGAGGGAGTGCTTGGCAAAGTTAGTTGCGCAATTAGATAGACTGGCGAAAATCGCCAATCTGTGCAGATCAGCATGCGAATCCGCCAATCTGCGCAAATCAGCAGGCGAAATCACCAATCTGCGCGGTCCACGGGGGAAATCGCCGATCTGCACGTACCAGCCGGACTACTCCAACGACGCGATTGGCCGAGTGTGCAAGCTGCTGAAGAGCCTCTACGGGCTGAAGCAGTCGCCGCTGTTGTGGTACTCGGAGCTCGACGCGGTGCTGACCGACGCCGACTAACAGAAGAGCCAAGACGACGAGGCCCTCTATTTCAAGGTGGGCGACGACAGAGTAGCGTGTTGGGTGCTCGTCTACATCGACGATCTGCTCGCCGCCAGCAGCAGCCTCTGTCGCGTTGAGTGCGGCTAACCGGTGGGTTAGACGCACTTAACACAGCAGCTAGGGTAAGTGGGATAATGTTGTTTACCTTTGTTACTTCCTTTCTTTGCTTTTCTTGCTTTCATGCGGTTTACTGGACTATACTCTTATCTGTAATGTGGGAGGCGAGTTGGTGAGGGAGAGGTCGAGGAGGAGGAGTTGTGCAGGTGGAGGGCGAGCTCAGGGAATTAAATTCGAAGCTGGCAACTGAATTCGAATTGGATTCGAAGCTGGCAATTGAATTGGAAGTGCTGGCAATTCAACTCACCGCCAACCAGCCTGAATGGTGGTGCATGCCCAGTGGGTCCCAGCTCGAGCCAGCTAGCTCCTGGAATTCCTCGCGACTAGCTCAGAGAGCTCGGAGGCTCACAGCAACTAGGCAGAGGATAGGCAGGAGGGAGAGCAGGGTAGAATCGCTAGGGAGGATTCTGATTCACTCGCTTTTTGCTTGTATGTTTCTCGCTGATGCACTCGCTTTTTGCTTGTATGTTTCTCGCTTACTACAATTTGTTTTCCTAATCCAAAGGGAGCTAGCAATAGGAGAAGCTAACAGCAAACTGACGGAGCCCTCGCGAGGGAGAGCGTAGAGGAGCGTACGGGCGCAGAGGCCCGGTGTTAGTCACAGAGTCGGGGCTGTGAGGCATGAATGATACTGATCCCGATCTACACATCCATCAGTTGAGATCGGGACAGAGGTATCCCGCTAGGACTATGGAAGGTCGGGAAGAGCCGCCTGTGAAGCCTGGATTTTGTGTAGATGGAGGAGTTAACGAGGCGCAGGGAGCAAAGGACCCTGATCGGCCGAAGGAGGGTGAGAATCGTCAGGAGAACTTGCCCAGCTCGGTGCACAACTCGCCAGGGCGACATAGCGAGGCAAGATCTGGGCAGGAGGGATCGCAGCAAGGAACGCCTGAGCGCGGCGGGAAGCATAGCAGAACTTCAGAGAAGAGAATTTCCGTGGTCTGTTTGGAGGGCGCAGTGCCACCAAGGGGCCCGAGCAAGGGGGCTGGCCTGCAGGAAGCAGAGAGAGGGAAGCCGCAAGCTGGGGGACAGGGAGGTCTATGAACACGGCGCCTCCAAAGATCGAGATACCAGACCGCTTCTCAGGGGCACCAGGTGAAGAGCCAACACTGAAGAACTACCTTATGATGATTGATGATATACGGTACACCTGGGAGAGAGAGGGGTTAGATCCGATAGAATTTTTCAGAGGTTTGGGAAGGACATTGAAAGGGGAGGCACTGACACACTACAGAGTGGAGCGTCAGGGGCTGTTGCTGCAATGCAAGAACGGGGACTTTGCGCAGGGAGAGATCACTGATCGATTTTTGGACACACTGCGCAAGCAATTCCCCGGGCACTCAGCTGAGCATATGATCGAGTTCCAAGCTTTTAAAAGAGGACGGGCTGAGTCGTTGCTGGCATACTACAACCGGCTGCTGGAGCTGGCTGAGGATATGGGCTGCGTTGAGGAGCGTACCTTGGTGACGAAATTCCTGGGGGGGTTGGAGGAGGAGCTGATGAATGAAATGAAGACACGACTGTATGCTTTGGGGATGAAGGCGAGACTCAGGCAGGTGTATCAAGTGGCGAAAGAAGTGGAGGAAGGGTGGAGGTTCTTCGAAGGATTGAGAGGAGCAAGCTCCAGCCGGTCAAACGAGCGAAAGACCTGCATGGGCAGCAGCTGAAGGAAAGAGGGGAGAGGAAGAGCGTAGAGAGAAGCCCTGGGAAGACACAAGGCGGTGCCATAAGTGTGGGGAAAAGGGGCATATACGGAAGGACTGCACGGTGGGCATCGTATGCGACACCTGTGGCGTGGAGGGGCACTTCAGGCGAGACTGCCCCAAGGCGCCCACCTGCACCAACTGCGGCAAGAAGGGACACACGAAGGAAAGGTGTTACAGCCGAGGAGAGAGGGAGAAAGGGAAGTCCACAAGGGAGCTGCAGCTGGAAAGGGAGCTGGTGAAATTAAAGGCACAGATGGAGAAGACTCAAGACAGTGAGGATCCAGAGAAAGCGTTGCTAGCCTGGGAGGAAGACGAAGAGGAATCAGATGAGGAAGAACCGGAGTATGGGACGATGGCATAAAAACCGAGGCCAGGGAGGAGTTGGGGCTGAGGAGCAAAGGGGTAGACGGCAGAACCAATGAAAAGACCTACGAGAGGAGAGGCCCCAAGATACAACCGAGTGGAGATGAGAAGCGGACGGCACGGCGGCAGCCTGAGGAGAGAATGGTGTGTCAGCCTACAGCGTTAATAGCCGAACCCGGAGCAGTGGCAGTAAGAGGCATACGGGTGGATAATGCGGTGGTGGACACTGGGGCGCAGAGTGTGCTGATTGGGAGGAAGCTGAGGGAGCAACTGAAGGCTCAAGGGGACTTGGAGCTAGTGGAACGGGGATTACTCATCATGACAGCGGAAGGGGGAGCACCCAAATGGATGCCGTGCACAAAGGAGCCGATGGAAATTACGCTACAGCCTGGGGAAAGGGGTGAGACCAAGATACGAGTGCAATGCGGGATGACAGAATCCGATGACTACGACATCCTGCTAGGCATGGAGTTGCTGTTTAGGGTGGGAGCGACAATATGTACTTGGGAGGAGCGGGTACAGTACCGTACTGAGCGCTGGAGGGAAGGAGGTGAGCTGGGCGAACTGCCGGTCAGGTTTGTTAAGACATAACCCAAGAAGGCCTGGAGAGCAAGGGCGGTCAGGGGAGAAAGGAAGAAATGGGAGGGAGAAAGCGCACTGGCAGGAATGGGGGCAAAGCTGAGTGAGTATAGTGTGACGCTAGTGGAGCTGTTCGGAGGCATAGGGGCGGGGCTTGCAGCAGCCTTAGAGGCCGGCCTGGAGGTTAAGAAGTGGCTTTATATAGAGATAGACCCGGAGGTGCGCAAGATGGCGTGGAGTCATGCCAGGGCCTTACAGGA